GGTTGAAGCACATTCTCATTCCCTAGTGGAGCTGAAGATTCTCGTATTTTTAGCAGTAGTATATTTTGTTGATTTTCTCATACGAAGAATATCTCATTCCCGACAAGAGTTCTTTTTGTAAGGTCGCTTACCCCAACATGGATCTTCATATCCTTGGCAGTATAAGGGCTCTTTATCCCTAGTGACAGAGTATGGATGAAATATTTCCTCAGGCGAGTTCTGAACCTCAAGCTTATGGTTCAAAGATACCCTCCTTTTCCCAAAGTAAAGATTGTTACTCCTCAGCGGTAGTATCTCCAGTGTGGTCTGGTTAGAATTCTTTTGTTTAAGAATTTTCACGTTTCCCCAGTTGAAATCTCTTTCATTGAGGACTTATATTAGGAAATCTGAGTTTCCAGCAAGGTTCTCTTCATCTGTGGGGGGGGAGATATTGGATCGTTTCCCAGAAGGTTAAGAGGTGGAACATAGTTCAAGATTTCTTCTACACTACAATTTATTTTTTGCAGTATTCTTCCCAGGAAGTTATCTCCAGTGAGAAATTGACAAGTTATCAAACAAAAAGTCAGGTGAATTTTGATTTCCCGCAGGCTCCACTTTGTTTGTGTTCTCTCTAGCAATGTCAATTATTCATTTGGTGTTTCCTCGCAGATATTACAGTTTTGATCTAATATTCTCTAGCAGAATTTGCAATTTATTTCTGCAAGTCTTATCAGGGTGTGGCCTGTGGTTATTGGTCTTTTCGTTTCACCAATCTGGGGCAGTTAAGTGGAGGATCGATTTCTCAAAGTTCTGTTACTCTGGGGCAGCATGTCAATGATAGTACGAACCCCATGAAGTCCTCTCGAGGAATTGTAGTTTGCTCTGTAAGTTGCATCTTGTCAGCACCAATGTGAGAGTCTTACCTCTAACTTTTGAATGTTGGAATAAGGAATTCCCCGCAGGGTTGCTTCTCCTCAGCATTGTCATGTGAGGGATTCTCGAGGCGGATAAGGTTTTTTGGATACCTTCATTCCCCAACTAAGTCTGGATGAGCATTATCTCGTTCCTTAACAGAGACTATTCCCAGCGGAGTTTATCTTTCGATTTGAATTATCATTGAAGATTGCATTAAAAAATTCTCGTTTTTTCCATCTGAGTTGTGACTTGGGGCATTAAATATCAAAAGAATCTTTTTTTCATCCCCGGAAGGATTGATGTTGGCTCAGATTGCCATATCCCCAGTAAAGTTGATACTGTTTGACTATCTTCATAGTCTATTTCATGGTTGCATACCAAAGGTTCGAGAATCCTCAGCAAAGCACTTCTCGACAGAATTTTGTTTCCTCAGGAGAATTCTATTTCTTTGACAAAGTTTTGTTGTTCGAGAAATCTTATCAAGAGAAAAGTTTCGATCTAAGACGTCATGTTTGAAGATGTCTCATGTCCCCAACATAGTTGCTTATATGGGAATTCAAAGTCTGAAGAAGTCTTAATTCCCTAGCGGAGTTTCCAATTAGAGATTCCTCGTCCAGATCTCTCATTTCCCAGCAATTTTTTGCTTGGGGCATCCTTATTTAAGTATTTTTCCTTATCCCTAGTGTAGTCGTTGTTGGTCGGTTAATTGAGATTTTTTTAATCTTCGGCAATCGGTAAAAAGATTTTCTGACAGAAGTTTCCCCAACGAGGGTTTTGCTTCTCACATATGATTTATTATCTTGGTGTCATCCTCAACGCGGTTGCACACCATCTGTTCCAGAGATTACAATCTTTCCCTGATCTTCTCCAACACCAGCCGATTTCTATTTGGAATTCTCCTTCAGAAGTTACAGTTTTGATCTGATCTTCTCTAGCAGAGTTCGCAATTTATTTTTGCAACTCCTCTCAGTGTTTGTATCCTTTTTCTATCAGTTGCTCATTTGTTACTCCCGGCAGAGTTTCTGCTCTTCAAGGCTTTCTTTCCAGCGGTTCCTCATATTTTCTCTTCTCCGCCAGATTTTGCAATTTATTTTTGCGAGTCCTATCAGGTTTTGACCTATTGGTTGTTGGCTTCTTTATTGGCCATTCCCCAGTGAAACATCTAAACATGCATCATTACATTGCATCTATCAAAACGCGTAGCATTTTCATTATATAGAGCATTACGCTATATATAAAAAATTCAAACATGCATCAGAACATAAGACATTTCTGTTTTTGTTTTGCCCCAATGAATTTGCTAATACTTAGTATTATATCCATAATGAGGTCTTCATCCTCATTATCTCAGTTTCACCCTCATACAAATATCCTTTTGATGTTAATCATTTGAATGGTTGAGTGTCTACTCTTGATTGTAGTCTTGTTTTACCGTGGCACAGTTTTCTCAGGTTTAGTCTTTGCCACCCTCGTTGGTTTGTTCCAATGTCTATTGATTTACCTTTCGAATACCAGTTTCGTCCTGATATTCATTTTCATTAAGTTTTTAGTTGTACGCCCTAATCACCTTGCTTTAGGTCGAGCTTTGAGTTCCGTCTCCTCACCCGTGCATGAAATCCAGTTTCATCCCGGTGCTCATCTAGTTTAGTTTCATCTGACTAGTTATAATGAGTCGAGTGTCATCTCATTTTGTTTTCATACCTTGGACTTCCATCAGTGTTTGATTACTGACCCCCTTTATCAATTTTTGTTTACTGAGTCTCTTTGTAGTGTTTGTAACTGCGTCCCTGGTTGAAATCAGTCTCTCTTATTCCTTGGATTCTTCTATCAGTTTTAGTTACTGCTTATCCATTGATCTGAGACCAACAAATGCTCTGAGAAACATGTGCTCTCATCATTTTGCTTTTGGTCGAGTTTTGATCTCGTCACATGTGCATGAAATCCAGTTTCGTCCTGGTACTCATCTAGTTTAGTTTTGTCTAACTAGTTATAATGAGTCGAGTTTCGTCTCATTTTTGTTTTCATACCTTGGACATCCATCAATGTTTCTTTACTGAGTCCTTTATCAGTTTTCGATTACCGAGTCTCTTTGCAGTGTTCGTAACTGCGTCCCTGGTTGAAATCAGTCTCTTTTGTTCCTTGGATTCTTCTATCAGTTTTCGTTACTGTTTATCCATTGATCTGAGACCAGCAGGTGCTCTGAGAAACATGCACTCTCATCACTTTTGCTATGGGTCGAGTTTTGCCTCGTCACCTGTGCATGAAATCCAGTTTCACCCTGATACTCATCTAGTTTAGTTTTGTCTAAATAGTTATAATGAGTCGAGTTTCATCTCGTTTTGTTTCTCACTCCTGGGATTCTTTCAGTTCCTTCATACTGTCTATCTTAGGTTGAGATTAGCAAGTTCTCCTAGAATCACATGCTCTAGCCACTCTGCCCCGCATACTTTTCTAGAGTTTAGTTTCGCCTATTCTTTATGGTTCGAGTCTTATCTCACCGCTTTTGTGGTCCAGTTTTATCCTGACACATTTATCCTGAAGTTTAGTTTTGTCTACTCTTCTAAGTTTAAGTTCTGTTTCAATTTTGTTAAAAACCAGTGTTACAACTTCATTCTGACGGATGTCTTGGGAGGTCCAATTTTCATTAAACACTCTGTTTTCTAAATCCAATTTCGTTTGGTATCTTCTTAATCTCGCGTTTTCTAGCATTCTTTGTCTTTGGGGGGTTCTTCTTCTATTTCAAGAGTGTAAATTTTCGGGTTCTTTTGTATTCAATCATCTTTAACTCTGAACGCTTGAAAGTTGTCACTTTTATCACTTATCATGTTAAAAATAATTGAATAGGGGCAGTTGTTGCACCCCAAAATTTACCCTCTTGATTTCAGAATTTTTATTTGGCTTACATTTCATCTGCATACAGATGAATACATTGGTTATGTTGCTATAGGATCAAGGTATGCTAGTAAAGCATCAACTGTTTATCAGAAACGTCAAAGGCTTTGTGCAGGCAATTCAATCAGCTGAGGAACAGGTTATCACCATGTTCTATTCCCGTGTATTTTTTCATGTCTTGGGCAATATAAGGGAACTAGAGGGTTTGATCTGATTCGGAACAATTCTGGTAAAAAAAATCGATTTCGGTGCGTCAACTTCATAATTTGCTAACTGCGAGCCAGAGTACTATTTTTGGCTGAAATTTGATCACCAAGTTCGTGTTGATATTATCTTCACTTTTCGTATTTGGGCCGGGAGCCAATTAGGTGCAGAAGGTGGTCAAATAATTTTATTACTGAGTTTTCAGGTTACCGATCAAAGGTGTTTCAGGAATTCAGAAGTTTCTAACTCCGATCTCGTATACCATCTCAAGGTGTTTTTTCCATCATTAAAATCGCCTCAATATCCTCTTCAATTTCCGTGTTTGGGCTTAAAGCCAATTCTCGAAGGAAGGTCCCAAAATTCACAAATCAGACAAAGCTGAACAGTGGAAAATACTGATAAACAGTTGGTTGAACTGTGTTTTTGTGCGCATTAAAAATTCATATATCCTGGTTCGAGTATTGTATGAGCGTGGTTTTGATGCCCGAAATTCCGCCTTGATATACTCTTGATGGACGTCCAGGGGCGTGAGCTGGCTATTCGAGGAAGGTTGCGTAAACTTTGAATTATTAAGGAATTATTTGGTATCTGTCTGTTCGGTTTTCAATATTCAAAAATTCATAACTCAGTCAATTTTTACCGAATTGCGCCCGTTCTTGAAGCATTGGCTTGCTAATTTGGTCTCTTACAATTTTGTTTCATGTTTCCAAGCCAAACGGTAGCCCGAAGACCTCCGTTGTTGGATTATTTCGCAAAATGGAGTTGTTCGTACCAGCAAAACAGACTTAACGACATTGTACTGTAAAATTCATAAAAAATAAACCGTTTATCAGACGGCTCTCATTTTTTGACACGACGTCGAACACTCAGAGACGCATATTTTTTATGGAAAATCCGAATCAGGGTTCTGATTTCTGGGACACGACCTTGTGACGTTTCCAAGCAGCAGAAGTCAAATAAGCTGATATTTTGACGTAATTAATTGTTGACAGTGACGTCTCACCGCTTAAATGTATCGAACTCATTCGATTTTTGTCAGAAAACCTCTGTTCTTTTTGGGTTGCTTCCGTAACTCAGGAGCTCATATTGTCAAAGGAGGTCCGCGTTCGGAAAGTTTTACGGATCATAGTGTAATTTCACTTAAGAGGTGAATAAGTTGAAAACATAACAAAAATGGAAAGAAGTTCTCCCTCCCGAATGGTCTTCTCACCACCGTCGGATTTCTCATCTTAGCCAACTCCGGCCACCCTCCTCCCTCACCGCCGGACTTCCATTTTCTCACCACTGCCTGACTATTCTTCCTCTCTCAACTCCATAGCTCCCTCCGTCTGCAATCTCTCTCTGTCCGCAGCTCCCTCCGTCTGCAATCTCTCTCTGTTCACAGCTCCCTCCGTCTACAACCTCTCTCCGTCTGCAACTTCCCTACGTCTGCAACCTCCTTCCGCCGCGTCTTGCTTCCTCCCAGCCGGTACACTCAGCTTCGGTAAACCTCGACTCTTCCTCTTCATATACTTCAATCATCTTCAAGAGGTATTGTTATAATTTCCTTTGGTTTTCTGTTGAATATTGAATTTGGAGTTGTTGTTGTAACTAGGATATAGGTTGATTTTTTCAGATTTTGCAATAGTTAGGAATTCAAGAATTGAATTAGAGAGTTTGTTTTGTCTCTTGAATTTTCAGATTTTTAGAATGGAATATAATTAGGTATAATTTTCAGATTTTTGTTAGCTTAGGTTAATTCTACAATTGGTTTAGGAATTTAGTGCATACTAACACTTAGTTTAGTTTTAGGTACTAATTCTTGATTTTGTTATCAATTTTGATATCAAAATGATAAGAAACAAGGCGTTGGTTAGTTGTTCATGAGGTTATGAGAGTATGCTTAATTCTGAATTTCTTACCGCTTGTTTGAAAAGTGTCGATAACATAACCTCATGAATTGAAATCAATACTACTAATCATGCATAAGTTTTTACTTTCTACAAGTTATGGTATAACTCCAATTTTCCTCTGTTTTGACACAAGCTTGTAGTGGAGATAGTTTTGCAATTTGTAGATGTGTTGTAATTCTTTAAGCTCATGTACTTCTCTGTTTGTTTTGTTGTCTTTGTCATTTACATAATGCCGCTTTGCTTGCCATTTGTGGATAAGTACTTGCATGCTAGCACTCAAGACTGGATGTTAAATTTGGATTTCCAAATTCTGATTTGTGGTGAATGCTAGCATGTATATAGGTCTGTCCATAATTTGTGATTACGCCTTGGCATGTAATTTAATTATGGATTAGAGTTACCGGATTGTTTTGTTGTTTTTAAAAGATACCTAAAATCCTGATTTTGAGACTTTTTGCTATTATTTTTATTCGATTTAGTTGTAATAGTAATTAGGTTTTAATTGCTTTCATTCCCATTTATAATTTGTATCCTCATCCCCTAAGGGATGTAATATTGTAGAACTTTAATTTGCGCAATTTATCGCTTTTAATATAATTGTTAGTAATTAGGGTGTGTATGGAAAACTAAAATCAATTTTAGAGAACCCTAATCTCAAGACAAAAATGCATGCAATCAAAACATGATTCACACACGCATCTCTAGAGTAACACACACTTGTTGCTTTGGATATAAACGGTCATGTCCCTCGAACATGGGATACTTTAGCAAAGCCCCCTCAATTACAAGATCATAGTCCCTCGATGACCCTTCGATGTTGCCTTCGATAAACGATCTTAGTCCCTTATGACAAATTGCTAAAGTATCCTACAATGTTGCCTTATATGACTATAGGATGACCCACGCTCGTCCCTTTACATCCAATGATAGGGCTTCTCACCAATCAATGGTAAGATAACAATATCTAAAGGAGGAGGAAAAGAACTAAGACTTTTTGAGTAGGTAGAACATTCATAGTTGCTTGCTCACAACCATTTTCAAAAACATCTTACCAACACTTTCAAATGAAATATTTTAAAAAGTCAACACTTTGTATGCATTCTTATAGAGACGAGAATCATTACAAATTTCGCCTAGACGATGGCACTTTTTCTAAAATACTTTCAAACTATCACAAACACATTTCAAACAAAGTATTTCGAAGTAAGCTAGAAACTAAGAGCCCGTAGATAACTACAGATAAAATGGGTGCTAACACATTCCCTTTTCATAACCTACCCCTTGAACTAAAGAAAAATTTCAAAAGGTCTTTCCTGTTCTTTTCACCCTTTTCTTTATTAGATAAAAGAAAAATCGGCGGTGACTTTTGCTATCCGCAATAATTACAATCAAACGCAAAACACCCAAGTCAGTTCTCCCACCGTATTACAGAACTGGCGACCCTGCTGGGGACATGTTTAAAAGTGGGGTTACCTTAGAGCTAGATCACCTTTAAATACATTCTTTGTTTAATTTGTTTGCTTTACATTTATGGGTCCTTGTTTGGGTTTGTATTGATCCTCTGTCCGGATCTGGGAACATCATTAGGTAAATAGAAATTTTTTTGGAGATTGTACGGTGTAGACCGATATGGTTGAGAGAATAGCTATGTTAGTATGACACATTTGTGGGTACCGATACCCCTTATGGGAGATTTAGGAGAATACGAGGTCGATGTGTGGTGTCATGAAGCACTAACTGACCTTAGAACCTTTTGTTGAACAGCTTGGCTATTAGGAAGTAGTGAGATAGCCTACTTTAGTGCAGTCTGAAGTTGGTTGATACTCGATACTACGCTCATTGAGATCTGAATTTTGGGATATTTCGATCGCCAATAAAGAGGCTTGCGCTGAAACAATGTCCGATGTAGAAAGATCAATGATATTGAGATTCCCTAGAACCCGATTTCTTTCTAGGATAGGTTAAACCAACCAAACTTCAAGAGGGTACTTACCTATGAACCTCATGCAAGTCTAAACCTAAGGACTTGTTTGCTTTACTTGTACATGTTTACTTGTACATAACATCATGACATCATACCATGGAATTTTGCACTAACCATTTCAAGGACTTTTGGGATTTATCTTTGTGCTGTTTTGCAGGACATGACTTCCATGCGAAGAAATACTATTTGAATCAACCTTGTGAAAGTGCCTCCTCAACTCAAGGAGTTAGCGTCAATGGTTCCAAATGATTCTCCATTCACCAAGAAGTATGTTCGTCTCATCAACTTGGTTACCTCAAACATTGAAGAGGACATGGTACATGTACTCTTTCAATTATTTGACCCTAAACATCATTGCTTTACATTCCCTAATTACCAATTAGTTCCTACCATAGAGGAGTTCTCTCAACTTTTGGGAGTGCCTATTCTTGATCAATTACCCTTCATCGGTATTGAGAAAGACCCAAGATCTGAGGAGATTGATCGAGCTTTACATTTGCAACAGTCTGACATTATAGCAAATTGGGAAACAAGAAGTGGTGTTAAGGGGTTTCTAGCCAAGCTTCTATTTGAGAAGGCTCAAATTTTTTGGCATGCTCTGTATTTTCAAGCTTTTCAAGATATTTTGGCTCTTCTAATCTATGGGATGGTACTATTTCCTAACCCGGACCAACTCGTAGATGTGGATGCGGTCAAAGTTTTTCTATCTCTTAATTCAGCGCCTACCTTACTTGAAGAAATTTTGCACTCTCTTCACACTCGCACCATGAAGAGAAGGGGGATTCTTATCTGTTGCACTTCTTTGTTGGCTACATGGTTTATTTCGTACCTTCCTCGATCAATTTGGAAGAATGAGCAAGGCATGAGATGGTCTAGTAGGTTGATGTCACTCTCTCATTCTGATATTCATTGGTGTTCTCGATCCTTGGAGGATGTTGTCATTATTGACCGTTGTGGAGAATTCCCTAATGTCCCTCTCTTTGGCATTAGGGGAGGTATCACTTATAATCCTTGCTTGGCTCTACGATAGTTCAGTTATGCTCGGAGGGATGGCCCTCATGACGCACTTTTCCAAGGAATTGTATTTGACTATGAGAACAATGTCCAACGTTATCATCGAAGATTTGTACGAGCTTGGGGAATGATGAATAAAGTTGATAGCAAGACGTTGGGGCATAAGAACTCCATTCTGTTGGAGCCTTATCTCAAGTGGGTGTGAGCTCGTGCTCAAATCCTCATGATGCCATATCCTGCTATCTTACCTATCATTGTGGAGGCTATTGCCGAAGGAGATGTTCCCTACACTATTCTTCATCCTGGCATGCCTACTACTCTCGAGGAGTTTCAAAGATCATAAATTCAATTAAAAGGGGAGCGAGACACCTTTAAAGTCCAATTCTATGCAAGCAAGAAGAAGGTTTTGGAGCTCACAAGACAGCTTCATGAAGAGCGAAGTTTGATTGCCTACATTACACCAAATAGGATGCAATCATGGGAAACATGAGTCCTTTTTCTTGTATGAGTTTATTTTGTATTATTTTTGCTTCTTCCATTGTAAGCCCAAGAGGCATTTTTGTAAATGATTTGAACTTATTAATACAATTAATGTTTGTTCCTTCTTTGTTTAAACAAATTTAAATCTTAAAGGTCCTTGAAAACATTTGCATTCGCATTACATGCATCATAACATAAGCAGGTTTTACGACACGGGTTTCCTCATCTTTCTACTTTTTATTTCAGTAAGATGGATCTCGAGCAGACCGTGAAAGACTTGCAGACATAAAATTCTCAATTTTAAGAAACCTTGCTCAACTTGGCTAAAGGGAAACAAGAGTTGATGTCACTTCTGGTTGCAAAGAAGAAGACCAAGAAGAAGGCTTTGATCAACATAGGGAAAAGGTTCAAGGGCCCCGTCCGTCAAGTGCAAGTAGTAGAAGAGTCATCTGAGGAATATGAGAACCAAGACGAAGATACAAGGAGTAACCGTGTTGGGGGTGGCAACAATCCAAACTCTAAGGATGAGGACTATTTTGACGAACAATATCCACCCGCTGAGGAAAAGTCTAAGCAATTGGAAGATAGATTAAAAGCTATGGAAATTCAAGGTGTACCTGGCTTGGATTTTGGTGATTTGAGTTTGGTGTCTGGGGTAGTTATTCCCCCTAAATTCAAGATTCCACTCTTTGCTATGTACGACAGTGTTTCATGCCCAAATCTTCACTTGAGATCTTACGTCCGTAAAATTCAACCGCATACCACTGATAAGAAGTTATGGGTGAACTTCTTTCAAGAGAGTTTGTCTGGGACTCAATTGGAGTGGTTTTACCAGATAGAGGGTTCTAACATCCATACCTGAGAAGACTTGGCCACCGCCTTCTATCATCAATATCAATACAATGTTGATCTGGTGCCAACTAGAGTGCAGTTACAAGGAATGACCATTGGTTCCAATGAAAGTTTCAAAGAATATGCACAAAAATGGAGAGACCTGAAAGGTAGGGTGCAACCACCACTAACTGACAGAGAATTAATAGATATGTTCATGGTAACATTGATTGGACCATTTTTCAACTTGTTAATTGGGATCTCATCATCTGGTTTCACTGAGTTAATCTTGACTGGTGAAAGGGTCGAGAGCGGTGTTAAAAGTGGAAAGATACCCATGGCCCCTGCCTCTACATCAAATGCTGTGAAAAGGATGTTTATTGGAAAAAAAGAGACTAATGTTGTATATGGGTCAAGAAGTCGTGCTAGGAATGATCATCACCATTCTGTAGGGGCTGTATTGATTTCCAATCCAACTATAACTCAAGGACCTCGTCAACAAAATAATTAACAAAGATCGGATGTTCAAAGAAGAAAATTTACCAAAATCAATATGCAACTATCTCAAGCTCTGCAACTCCTCTTGAAAGCTGATTTGGCGACTTTGCGAGATCCTCCTTTCAAGCCTAACACCACTTCTCCAAAATACAACCCCAATTCCAGATGTGCCTACCATTCGGATAGCCCCGGACACGACACAAATGATTGGTTGTCTCTCAAGAATAGAATCCAAGACCTCATTGACAATAATACCGCTGAATTTGATCCTCCTCCAACTCCTAATGTAATCATCGCACCTATGCCAAATCATGGAAAAGGTGTCAATTCTATTGAAGACACTGCTTTTGTTTCCTCTGTTAATGACTTAACCACTCCATTGAAGTTTGTCAAAAACAATTTGTTGAAAGATGGGGTTTTCCCTGGTTGCCTCAAAGATTGTGTTGTTGTGCTATGCAAATCAATCGCTGTGAATGGCTGAAGAAAGGTGTCCAACACCTAATAGATAGCCATGAGATTTTATTCAAAAGAATTTCGTCCATAAAAAGTTTGACTGAATTTGTACCACAAGAAGTTAAAGACATATCAATCATCACCATATCCAAAAAACCTATTAGGATCTCTTCAAAAGGTCCTATTAGGATTTCCAATGAACCGAAGATAGCTCCATTGATAATTACCACACCAGGGCCAGTCCCTTATTCTTCTGATAAGGAGGTACCTTAGAATTATGGCGCTGAAGTATACTACCATGGTATTAGACAAGACTCATGGATTGATGAAGACAAGACTGCTGATATTACCAACATTTTTGGCTCTAGCAAGGTGACAAGGAAGGGGAGAATGTTCTCTCCTAACATTTCACCTCCAACCACCACAACTACAATTGTTTGCATTACTGTTGACAAACCTAGTACTAATGCTAGGGGAAAAGAAAAGATGAGTGAGCCTGCCAGGATGAAGGCGCCTGCCAAAGACATTATTACTGAGGAACCCTCCCCCTAAGAGATGGAAGAGATTTTGAAAATAATAAGGAAAAGTGATTATAAGATAGTAGAGCAGTTGGGGCAAAACCCCTCAAAGATTTCTATGCTATCTTTATTACTTTGTTTTGATGCGCTTGCTCAAGCCTTGATAAAATTCCTGAAGAAAGCTCATGTTCCTCAAGAGACTACAACTGATCAGTTTGAAAAGTGTGTAGCGAGTTTGAATGCCGATAATGGATTTGGATTTTCGGATGCTGATTTAACCCCCGCTGGAATAAATCGCAATAAAGCTTTGCATGTCTCCATTGAATGCAAAGGAACCACTCTAGCCCATGTATTGATGGATATTGGATCCTCTCTAAATGTCTTACCCAAGGGTGCCCTAGATCATTTGGATTGCGAAGGTTTGGAGTTGAAGCCAAGTGACATAGTGGTAAGGCTTTCAATGGATAAAAGAGGATGGTACATGGAGAGGTTGACCTCCCCATCAAAGTTGGTTCTCAAAATTTCAACGCGACTTTCTATGTGATGGACATCTGTCCTGCCTACTCTTGCCTACTTGCACGCCCTTGGATACATGGGGCAAGAGCGGTGACGTCCACTCTTCATCAAAAATTGAAATATCTAGTCAAAGGAAAGATTGTTACCGTCTGTGGTGAAAAAGAGTTCACGGTTAGCCACCTGAATTCGTTTAAGTATGTCGAGATGGACGACGAGTTCATAGAAACTCCATGTCAAGCCTTTGAAGCGGTCTCTCCCATGATTGCTGCCACTAAGGTCTCTTCTGATATTCCAAAAGATGCTCAAGATGTGCCAAGGATGGTTCCCACAAAGACGCTCGTGTTGTGATTGAAGATGGATGTTGTACCATTTGGGGACAACTCCCTGACATTCTGTTCAAGTCAGATAAATGTGTTTTGGGTTTTACTGCCAAAGCTCAAAAGGAGGTTAGACGTGCTCGCATAGGGAAACCACCTCTTCGCATCAGTAATCATAAAGTGAATGCTCTTGAAGACTCTGACAATGACTGTAATTTTGATGACTGGATTACCCGACTGCCGGTGAAGGAATCAACAACTGGCGTTCCAATTATTTCATTCCCATCTCCTTCAACAAGGAGTAATTACCATTTATTGTTTTATCAATTTAAGAACTTTGTTTGTAATTTTGTTAAAATAATGAATTTAAGCCATGTGTCAGGCCCGGGACACCATGGTCTATTTGTTAAGGGTTTGTTCATTTTCATATGCCATATGATCATCTAATGAAAAAACATTGGACTATTTTGCATTAAAATGTTGCGCTCACTGTCTTTCTTTCACTTTATTGCATTTTCAAAATAGCCATGTGTGATCGGTGGATCTGGAACTGACTGTTTAAC